ACATGATGTACCTGTGACCAAGGCCGAGTTTGAAGTCAATATCTGTTTTCAGACAGATGATAATAGTAAGACAATTATTTGTAGTGTGAGTATGGCATCCTGTAACTTTTTAAAATATGACTGCTACGCTCAGAGATTTTCAATGCCTCCTTTTTTTTTTTTTTTTTTGCACATGGAAGTAGAGTTAATCTTGGTTTCCTGGCCTGGGGAATATTGCTGTGGACTTCAGTGAGCCGCTGCTGATTGTGCTTATCAGGAGGCACTGTTTTTTAACACCTCTTGATAAGTAGTTGTACATTATAATGGCTTTTTAGGAGCTAATCCAGAATAGCTTCGAAACTATTTCTTAGGAGCTGTGAGAAGGACGAGGTTTTATTTGTGGCAGCCTTTCAGGTAAATATTTGCATAGTCTCATGGAGTTCTCTGAAATACTGGTGATGTTACTGCACAGGCACGCTGAGTAGAGCTCACCTCTGTTGAGAAGGTTTGTTGAAAGGCCAGAACCCTGATTTTGATGACTTCGAGACATTCAGTCAATTCATCTTTGATCCCTGCCAGAAGATAAATTGAGTAAATTAAAATCACTTTTTAAAAATAATCTCAATAAAAATACTCAGTGCCACTTCCTGAAGAAGTGTCAAGGAAATCTTATTAATAAAATGGGATGAAAAATCTTCTTCATTCATAACTGGATGTTTTTTTAACCTTTCTATACTTAATTTCCAAGTCATCATAATTTTTAGTACTGATTCTTAAATAGCAATCTTCACCATGTTTCTTTCCTCTTGTCCAGGAGACAAAGCAGGAACTGTCCTGTGAAATTGCTCTGTGAAGAGATCATGAAAATGAATCTGGAATCACCTCTTTGCTTGTTTTCCCTCTTTTTAAAAAATTTTATTTCCCCACTAGCCTTTCCTCCACACCATCATATCGCGGTGTTATTGTGTTCACTGTTATGTTGCTGAAACTTTTAGGTGGTCATAAAACAGCCAGAAATGAAAAAAAAAATGAAATAATATTTCCTTTCCAGTGTTATCAACACCATAATATGTTGGCTTGCCCTTCTTTAAGGTTGAGCTTTGCACTGAAATTATTCCTTTGCTGTCTCAATGAGTTCTGTTGGTTTGCTTGGTACAGGGAATTTTTTGGATGGGTTGCAGTGTGTTAGGTTCTTGTAGAATGTTTGGATGCTTTTATGCTTCCTCCTTTTAGAAGATGAACTCGACTTTGTTCATTTGGGTTTTGACTCTTCTGTCCTCTTACGTCTCTGTTTACATGTGCTTGCTTTTATGCCGGTCTGACTGTGAAGAACTAGTTTGTTGGTTTTTTTTTTAATGTTCTGGGGTTTCTTTTTCAATTGTTGATAACCATCACAGGGCTCAGCAAACAGCTGATGTTGTTTCTGTTTCAGGAAATAGCACGAAACACCTATTGGAGCAATATGTAAATGCAGGAAGCAAGCTGTTGCCAGTGTAACTCTGCCTTCTTTGGCCAGTTGAATTCACAGTGTTGAATTAGGATATCTGGAGGTAATTATTCCATCCTATTGACTTGGGCATGGAAACAGCCTATAGGGATCTCTGTGTAAAAGCTTTGGAAACCAATAAACAATCATGACTTGGTGTGGCTGAGGAAGTCCTGTTATTTCTTGCTCGGAGGGCCAGGCAAAAGGCAGCAGGTCTGGTGTCATTACAAAATCCTGCTTAGAGCTTTAGGGTTTCTTTGCCTTTCATTCTGTCTGTTGCCTTTTTGGGATGTTGGCTCCTGGCGGGCAAAGGACACAGGAGGTGTGAGGTGGCTGTGAGCTAATGCTGCTGTAATGAGGCAAAATCAGGGTCTCATTTTTGCCCAAAATTCACCAAAATTCAGTGAGGGGTTTAGGAGCACGTGAGGGCCATGTGCAGCTGAGCAGCACAACTCTCCAGGGCACAGAGGGACTGTCACTGTGGTAGGGAGGAGGCCCAGCCTCTGGAGGGCTGAGAGTCTGAACAGTCCATTTTTTGATTAAATAGGATGTTTCAAATGAAATACAGACCAACTGTGCTTCAGCTTTTACTTAAAGACATGATTTGCAGAAATCTGTAGAAAAACATAAAAAAAAAATCCAAAAATCTATTGGATTGAATTTGTTTTGAATCAATCTATCTTAATATTTTTATTTTTTTGTATTGTTGTTTGGCTGTGTTCCTTTTTTGGTTTCATTTTTGACAAATTTACTGGAAATAGTGAAGCATTTCTTTAATCTTAATGACCCATGATTAAGATAACATAACATTAACACTCCTAAGGTATATGTAAGAAACTTGGATGCTTCAAATAGCAGCTGCCAGCTGTGAGGCAGCACATTTTGCTTTATTCATCAGTGAACTGTGTTGTCAGTGGTGGCTTTTTACTCTTTGTCTCTTCAGTCATTAGAAACAGTGGTTTTTTTCTTGTACTTGGAGTTATGAAAGAAAAACACTCAGTTTTGGACCTTCCGTGTTGCTGGAGGTCTGAATGCTGGTTCTGCTCCATTCATAATGGAGTTTTTGACATTTAGGGGCAGGAGTGATGGGTCCCTTTCGTTATTTGGGTGCACTTTTTCCAGAGCTGGAAGGTGTGGAGCCAACCCTCAAGCCTCTGGTGTACCCTGTGATCCCTTGAAGCCTGCTCTGGTGGGGAACTCCATCCCAGTTCCCTTGCTTGGGACCTCCAGCTCCCTTTAAAGGACTCCTGAAGTTTGTTTTTCCAGTTGCACCCAGTAAAGTGTTACCACAGCTCGGCAGACCTCAGGAGGAATGAGGGCAGTGAGAGGGAGGGACAGTTGTACATTCCCACTGAGCTCATCTGCACCATCAGAGTGGGTTTATGACACTTTAAAATGCTCTCTTTAAATTTGTCTTATGTGTGAGGTGAGTTAGAGGCCAAAGAATTGGACTGAGATAAGGCAGACCAGTCCCTTCTAGCTCTCTAGTTGTTGGGGAGTGTTTGACTGGTCACTTTGCTTCTCCATGACCCAGCTTCCTTATCTGAGAAGTTGTCACAGTCCCCTTGATGTGTTTGTAAAACGTTTTGAAGTGTGGGAGTGATGTGAGCTTAGGAAAACCAGATTATGTCATTATTGGATGCTACAGATTGATTTTTGCGTGGAACATTTGCAAAGGTGGCAGGAGTTCAGTGATTTTGGTTTCCTGTAGTTTTAAATCACTGGCAAATGTAATGTAATACCATGGAAGTCTGTATTTACAGAGTTTGAGTTCCTCTATTTTATAACAGGGAAAGTGTTATTAATCAGAATCTGGATAGGAAATAGATTAACAAGCACTAAATTGGGAGTAATGGTGGAAAACCAGCTAAGCACGAGAGATATTTTTTCCTCAGCTCATTAAAAAAACACCTAAAAACCACAAACCCAAAACCACTCCCAGAAACTCCCAAAAAAGAGTGAAGAACACTCTTCTCTGTTAATTTGCAAAGCCTTTCAGATGGTAATATGACAAAATTTGCGGGTTTTTTTTGGTCATAGTACCTGTTGGCTTCCCTCAGAATCACCACTTCTCTCTGGTATCACTAAACTCCCTAACCTTTTTCTTCCTTCTCCTTTTCAGAGAACAAGGAGCAGAAATACCCTCCTGTGATTTATTTGCCCCTAAGTCTGGGCAGAGCTGCACTTCCCCACTGCTGTGAAGAGCTGGGCAAGGATGGATGGGACATAAAGCAAAGCAGAAGTCCTGGAGCCTTAGTCACCAGTCTGATGGACTTTCTGTAAGTATGAGTAAGGCTCATTTCTCACCTGCCTGCCACACAAATAAGTGCAGTGGTGCATTATTTACATGTTAGCACTGATAAGCAAATACCAGCATCAGCCTTCCTGAAGTGTCACAAAGGATTGGCACGCTTGAGGGGCTGAGCAGCTGTTGAAATCTGCTTCAGTGACATCTGCAGTTCAGTTTTGGGTGGGATGATGCCTTGACAGAGGTTCTAAAAAATAACATACTACTTTGGGATGAATTTATGTCGTGTCTTTACACAGCTGCAATGTGCAGGGTTTTGCTCTGCAAGGTAGAGAAAGGTATTTCTCAGGGCAGGAATGAGGCACTTTCTAGGCTTTTTTTACTTGTAGAGCAACATGAGAGGACTCAGTAGACAGCAGCATTTATTGGAATGATTGCTTGTGGAGCTGTAGACCTGCCTGTTTCAGATCTGCACCAGCAAACATTTTTGTATTTCTAGTGTCTGTGGCAATCAGTGGTTTTGCTCAGCGTTAACGTTTAACTTTAAATAAACTGCTGGATGCTGGAAACATTCAGTGCAGAACCTCTCTTTTACCCTGTTTGCAAAACTTTCAGTATTGCTGTGGCACAGTTCCCCTGCAGTGCTTCTCTCCCTGGTTTTGGTTCAGTGACTACCACACACAGCCAAGAAAACAACTCTTTAGAACACGTAAGAGCGAAAAAAACGTGGCCTGTGGGGGCTGCAAGTGTCATGAATTGGTTGAATTTGTATTTCCTGATGCTTTGCTGGTTTCTGTGTCATAAACCTCAGAGAGACACTTGAGTAAGTGTTGAGAGAGGGCCTGAGCATGGCACTGACACCGTGTGGGTCTCTGCCAGGATATTCTCTGACTCTGCTCCTGCCAGCGACAGTGAGCACTGACTTGACCTTCTCAGTTTGTGCTGCCCTCGTGCTAATGAATAGTTGCCACTGTATAATCCTCAGGCTTGGATTGAGAGGCTGCTGAGATCTGATTTCATGCTGCACCTTAATTTGTACCCTCTCCTCAAATACTTCCACTTGTTGGTTGTTGGTTGATTTTTGTTTTTTTTGGTGTTTTTTTTTTTTTTTTAAATTTGTTTTATTTCCCCCCTCTCTGCAAATCTGGCCCTTTTCCAAAGGGAAAACTGACAAGAAAGCTGGACAAAGCCTCCATTTGTGATTGTTTTCTTTTTTTGTTTGTTTGTATAGGTTCACACTTTACTCCCCAACACTTGAATTGTTTCTGTACTGTTGACAAAGGAAAAATGACCTCTACTCTAGTAAGTAAACAAAATATTCACAGTATTCCTCTCTGATTTTTTTCTTTTAATTTGGTTTTATTTCTTTACACGTAACAATCCATTGAGTGATGTCCTGACTAACAAGCCTTTTGAAACATGGATTATTTGTTGTGTTTCCTTTTTGGCAAAAAGGGGAAAAGGTGCTGTGAGGCAGCTGTGAGAGCCTCGAATTAACCAACATTTCAAGTGCTCAGATACTTTTAGGGGAGATTTATGCTTTTGAGCACATACTTCTGATCTATTTAAGCTTGTTTTGGTGGGATAGGTTAGGATGGCTTCTAACTAGTTCTTAAAGCTCTTCCAGGATAAATATTCCTGTTGCAGGCCAGTGTGTGTCAGAAATAGCTTAGGTGTACCTGGTGTTGTCACAGCACGAAATGGGGCAGTAAGCATTTATCCTGGGCCTGGACAAAGGCTGTTCCTTGTCAGCATTTCTTTCTGTACTGGTGCTGTCCTTGCTGTTTATTTCCACCCTGTCAGACGTCCCAGGGCAAGCATTTGTGCAAACAGCTTGGAAGGGCTGGGCTCAAGGATCCTCTTAGGCTGGGCTGCTATGGAAAGCAAGATCAGGAGGCTGATCTTGTCAGAGGATTGCCAGCCTCACTCTGTGTCACTTCTATTATGAAAACAGTGAGGTTTTGGGCACGTTCTGTCAACCTCTCTCTCTGTGTTCACTGGAGTCCCCAGTAAGTGTTCTGCGTGCCGGGGGGGGGCGTATCTTGGAGTAGGACCGTGAGATTTTGTCCTGCTGCCAGCCTTGTTTCTCACTCTCTGCTGTCCCCCTCCCTCGCCGCGCCGCGCCGCAGGGTCCGCCGCCGCCGTACTACGAGAACCGGGGCTTCCAGCCGGAGCCCCCCTACGCTGCCGGGCAGGCAGCAGGTGCTCCCCCTTACCCACACCAGCTCTTCTCCACCAACCCTCCCTCCGTGCCAAGCTACATCCCAAGGGTTGCCACCCACCAGTCCACCAGGCCAGCAGCGCCCCCGCCCAGGAGAACCTGTGCAGCCAGTAAGTTTTGGGGGGGTTTTCTCCTGGTTTTGGAGCTGAGATCTGTCAGAGTGAGATGATGAAGGAAAGGGACCTTCACTTCCAAGTTGTGCCTTGAAGGAGCCACTTCCTTCATGCCTTTCTTCCTGTCATGAAGAAGTGACGGCTGGCTGGGGTGCTGGTGAAGATGGGGGCTTTGGGAGGAAGGGTGGTGGAATGGGGAAAAGTCTGGCTAAAAACGACTGATTTTCGTGTCAAATAAATAGTGCTGGTGGGTGGAAATAACTTTACTTCTGAACCTAATTGCTCTTCTCCTCCTTGCTTTCACTTCAGGTCTAAGGAAAACGATAATAATAATATTATCTATGTTAATAGTCATTTGTTGTGCAATTGCTGCTTTCTTCATCTGGTATTTTGGTAAGTTTTTTTTTTTTCTTTTCCTTTTTTATTTTTTTTAAGAAAAGATGTATTAAACTTTTCAAGTTAGATATATCCATTCTCATTTATACATAATCCTGAATTAAGGACAGAAAAGTCTTTGTTCCCTTTCTCCTAAGAGATGAACTAATGTTGCTTCTTAATGGTTCAGTTTTGTTTGTGGGTTGAGCTTTTTTTTTTTCTTCTTTCTTTTTAATGCTGCTGTTACTTTCCAAATTTGAGCTTCACTTAATTTCAGGTGAAGGGAAGGGATTGCATTAAGTGTGCAAACCTTAACTGCAGGAGTGTAAATGGTCAAGTTGTGTTTTGTTTTGCTAAAATGGGATCTCACTTGGAGCAGAAGTCATCTTCATCCATTTATTTGTTTCTGTGGGGCTTCTGTATAAACATTGCTTGAGCCCAGCCTGTCTCAGCACTCTAAGTTGTACCATGGATGTTTGCTTTAGAAATCATCCCCAGCTGGGGTGACTGAGCTCTGAAGCAGGGCTGGACCAATTCTGTTCAGCTCAAGTGAAGTTTGCCTTGTGCAGTCTTATTTTCCCTTTCAATGAAAGCTGCTTTGCTAAAAAAGCAGGAATCTAAAAATCTGGTGGTTTTAGGAGCCTCTCCTTTCCATTCTGCTCAGGAGAAGACAAGGAGAGAGCTAGTGGAAGGTGTCCCTGCTCATTGCATTGGGTTGGACTAAAATGACGTTGAAAGACCCCTTCCAAACTATTCTGTCATTTTAAGGGCATTCATTTAGAACTATTAGGATGGCACTTTGTGTCCTTAGGGGCATTTTTTTTGACTCATTTTGATTTCAGCAGGTTGAGTGTAATCTTGATTTAAATGAGAGCAAAAGTACATAACTGAGGCACTCGCTCTTTTCCTCCTTTTCCACGTGCTAATGCTTTGCCAGTGCAAAGCTGACTCCTTTCTGGCAACTTAATGGTGCCTGATTATTCAGGGGAAGCCAGTGGCCAAAACCCAATCAGCAGCATCAGAGACTTGATCTGTGCAAAGGACAGAGCAATCCATCTCTGCTGTGGCAGGCTGGGTCCCTCCCTCCTCCGGGATTAAGAGCCGCTTCCAGCGTTTTGCTCCATCAAAGTGGGAAACTCTCTGAGAGCTGGGCTGATGTGCAGCCTCGTGGCTGTGCTTCTGTCTCCCTGCAGTAGAGAATCACTGTCTCAGCTCCCTGATTGAGTGTGGATCCTCAGGGGTGTGCATGTCCCCCTCGCAGTGGTGTGACGGAGTGAGCGACTGCCCCAACGGGGAGGACGAGACCCGCTGTGGTGAGTGACAGCAGCCAAGGGCTGGGGGCAAACTGCATCAACTGCAGGAGCCTGGGAGCAGACTGCCCTGTACAGAGCTTGCCTAAGCTGCAGCAAGGCTGTTTTAGCCTGTGGTCTGTCTTTAAAGTGGTTTAGGATGTGTGTTATGTACACATATTCGGTTTGTTTCCAGCCCGATTGAGAAGCTGAAATAAAATGCACAGGGGGTTGAGCTGCCTTGACTTTGAGTCGGTTTTTTAAATCTCACCTTTTAATTTGAGTGGTGTTTGTGCAGAACTGGATCTAGAATTGTCTCTGGATGGAACAGTCAGTGGTGACTTCTCAGCAAGCTTCAGGTGATAACAAACCTGGCGGCGTTCAGTCAGGCTTGTGTTTATCCACGTATTTTGTATTCCTTGTTCTCCCCTTAGTTCTTCAACTACCCCATCACTCATTTGTGCAAGAAAGCCTGGCCTAATTATTGCTTTGAACTGAAAAGATGCCAAGGGAAGCTTTAGAGCTGAAGGTAGAAGGTGAAAACACTGATTTGTCCATTCCAGAGGTTTGGCATCTTGTGTCGTGCCAGGGCCACACTGGAAACTCCAGCTGTGCTTTAGATTCCCTCTACAAACTTTTATTCAGCACATTCTCATGCAGGGTTAGCATTTGCTGGCAGCTGTTCCACTCCATTTGGTTGAATAATGGCTTCTTGGAGAAGCCTGTTTCAATCTGTTCTTTTGCTTGAACTATTTTTTATTAAATTCTTGTGCAAGCAAATACATAATGGGACGTGGAATCTCAGAGCTAATTGCTCCTTGTTACATTCTTGCTTTGCAAAGCACTTCTCTGAAGAAATTTGGTATATTAAGAGATAATCTCTTAATAATAAGAGATATTAGTAAGATAATATGATTTCTTTTTCAATAGATCATTTTATTTATACACAATATATAATATATTAAGAAAAATATGGTTGCATAAAGAAAGGATCAGGAAATTTTCATTATTGCAATCTTTCTCAGTGATAGAATATAACAGAAATTTTAGCATAAAAGCTGAAATGAAAGGATGAACCCTATCTTGTGCATTTTCATTTTAAAACTGGTAGTTCTTATAAATTGCCTTACATGTAAAGAAGTTATGTCATTGCCATATTTCTGTCTACTGGCTATTTACTCAGAATTGGAGAAGGGAGCATTAAATTAACATCAGTTCCTACATGAAATGGATATTATTTGTAACTACTTCCAAGCAGAGAGAGCAGTAATAATAGCATGTGGTGTTCTTAGTTTCCTTTTTTTTTCCTTTTTCCCTTTCTTCCTTTTCTGGCAGTTAGACTTTTTGGACCAAATTTTATTCTGGAAGTTTACTCACCTGTCAGCAAATCCTGGTATCCTGTTTGCCAAGATGACTGGAGTGATGATTATGGGAAGATTGCATGCAAAGACATGGGCTACAGTGTGTAAGTGCAACCTCTGTCAGCCTCTGCTCAGAAAAAGAAAGGTTGAAATTTCCCTCTTGCCGTTTTTAATGTGTCATTTAATTGTGTCATTTTTAATGACTTGGCTGTGAAAATGTACTGGCAAAGGCATCTCTTCATTTTGCCCTGTTACACGAGAGGCATGCACATCAGATAAAAATATTATTTTGACCCACTGACTGAAGTGGAACTTGACAGATGTTTGAAGAATCTCAGACTCTGGCTGGGCTGCACCACCAGGGTTCCAGGTTCACAACAATAAAAATAAATACAATAAACAAAAATAAAGACTTCTAGTGCTGTCATGTCAGAAGCTCTGGCTTGGCACATTGTTATCACTTGCTTGAAAACTGAAACCACTGTTGGGTTTTATGGTTTTATGGTGGACTTTCTGTTTTGCAGGGATACATATTTCTACAGTCGTGGGGTGGAACCTGAAGTCAGCTTTAAGAGCTACATGAAGCTGAACACAAGTGCTGGGAATATAGACTTGTACAAAAAGCTGTACAGCAGGTATCTTTGTTTAATAAAAGCCTCTCTCCTTTCATCCAGGCTCTCTCCAGATGCTGGAAGAGGTTCAGCTTCTGCCTGCAGCACAGTGCAAGCACATCTTTCAGTGGGGATTGTTGGAGGGAAAGAGACTTTGCTTTTAGTCTGATTGCAGCAACTCTTCTTCCCTCTTTTTAAAAGCACAGCTGTCATTTTTCCATCCTCCCTGTCCTCTTCTAAAAGGAAAAACATCCCCTCCTCTGTGCTGTCTAGAAGGTTGTCAAAGGTGTTTTCCTAAGGCTCTCTGACCATCAGCAGGAGTTTGTGTGTGGTCACAAGAGCTACAAGCTGCAACACATTCACAGCAGCTGGCACAGCCTTTTTTTCAGTCACATGAACTCACAGCATGCAAAAAAATGGGTCTTCACTGTGGAATGCATCATTTTTATTATCATTAAACAGCTCCAAAGTGTCCAGTGTCAAAACCTGTAGACTGCTGTGCCTGCAAACTTCCTGCAGCTCCCTTGTTCAGTTCTTCTGCAATGACTTCCTAAATCGTCTCCGCTTTCTCTCTTCATCTTGCTTCTCAATAGGCTTTCAAACCTTTTGTGCTCATGCCTGCAGTCTCCCACAGGACAGTTTTGGTGAATGTAAGGCATGGTGGAGGCAGATGGTGAAGAAAGGAGGGAACCCTCTGCAGGAAGATGAGGCTGGAGGCAGGGCATGCAGGGAAAGGGTAGAAAGCAACTGGAGGGTGGACTTTGCTCACCATTTCCTTCACTGAGTGCCTAAGATCCTGTTTGGTGTTTTTATTTCTCCTGCAGTGGTTCCTGTGCCTCAGGAAATGTGGTTTCTCTGCGCTGCATAGGTAACTCACTGGCTTTTGCAAACTTCTGCTTCTTCATGCTTTGAAATGCTCTGACTGCCTGATGCATTAATTGCTGTTTTTGTGGGCAAATGATTTAACTCTGGTTCCCAAATAATGCAGTTTTAGGAGCAGGGTGGGAGAGGAGATAAAGTACACAGTGGATTCCCAGTTGCTTTTGTCTTTGCTGCCACTGGTTCCTTTAAATGACTTGTGGTGAAGCTCCATATCTGTCCCCCAGCAGCTATGTTGGGATGTTTCTGGCACATTTACTCTCCAAGATTCAGCAATTGGGTGGGCAGTGCCTTCTTGGTGGTGATTCCTGTCCCGGGGAGTCTCCTGGCTGTTGGCTGCTTTGTTGCACAGCACAGAGCAAGAGTTTATGGTGAACCAAGGGCAGCAGCTGCCAGGTGGGGTTTGCCATTTAATGGGGTCTGGGCAATGGCAGACTTGGGGTTTGGTGTCAGGGCAGGGGTGTGAGCTGTGCCCAACACGGTGTGTGCACCCCATGCCAGGGGATCAATCCACCTCCCAGCTCACTCTTTGATGACCCTCTGTGTGTGACTGACCTTTCAGCGTGTGGCCTGTCCAGCAAGAGCGCGAGCATCATGAACAGGATCGTGGGGGGCAGCGGGGCCGTGCTGGGGCAGTGGCCGTGGCAGGTCAGCCTGCACGTGCAGGGCACCCACGTCTGCGGGGGCTCCATCATCACCCCGCACTGGCTGGTGACAGCAGCACACTGTGTGGAAGGGTGAGTCCCTCTCTCCGTGGCTGCTCCAGGGGAGCACCCCCAGCTCCCTCAGGGCTTCCTCTCAGGGTTTGTGTTCCAGCCCCTCTCCAGCCTGGCTGTCCCCTCTGGATGTGCTCAGTGTCCCAAGGTCCTTCCCAGACTGAGGGGACAGCGCTGGGCACAGCACTCCAGCTGTGACCCCAGCAGTGCCAGGGCAGGGGCAGAGTGACTTCCCTGCTCCTGCTGCCACTCCATTCCTGAGCCAGGCCAGGAGCCATTGACCTCCTTGGCCACCAGGACACTCTGCTGTCTCATGGTCATTCAGCTGTCCAGCACCCCCAGGTCCCTTTCTGCTGGGCTCTCTCCAGCCACAGCGTCCCCAGCCCAGAGCACGGCAGGGGGTTGTTGTGGCCAAAATGCAGGACTCGGCACTTGGATTTATTAAACCTCATCCTGTTTGCCTTCAAGCTGGAATGCAAGAATTTATTCAATTCTCCCCACTTTCTCCCTTAAAACTGAATTTCTTCCCCACCTGGCATGCAGGTGCTCGGTGCAGTGTTTTGTCTGTATTGTAAATTTGAAGTATTAAGGGAAGATTGGTTCTGGAGGAGGCTGGCTGCAGTTCATCTCTCTGCTTTCTACAGGAAGCCTTATTTTATATTTTGTCTTATTTACAAAATGACATGGATGATGTTGAGCACAGATACCCAACCAATTTAAGATGTAAACTCAAGGCACCAAATTTAAAGCCAGCCAGCACAATGTTTCCATGAACCTGTTGAATTACACTGTGAGAAAACCCAAAGGAAACTCCCCCCCTCCAAATTCTCAAATATCACACTGCTGTAGATATGATTAATTTAAAGATGCCTGTGCCATTTATTTCTTCATATCTTTTTGCCACAGGGTAGTAAAGTCCAAGTCAGTATTAAATACAGATTTATATCTATCCAAGGAGCACTTTATGTAGCCATCAAGAAGAAAAATAGCTGGTGCTTGTACATTTTTAACCTATAAAAGAGAGTTGAGGGTTCTGTTACCCTCAGAAGGGGCAAGAATTTGTTTAAAAGGCTTCTGTAGGAGGGAAAACCCACAGAGCAAAAACACTTTTAATGGTTGGTTGGCTGGATCACAGTTTGAGGCTGAGGCAAGGAAGAATATTTGTCCTTAACCTTGAGAAAAGAATGCAAGTGTTGATTTCTACCTGCAGATCTTATCCCTCCTTTGTTGTCTGGATTTGAGCTCTGTAGTGTGCAAAAAGCTTTGGGAATGGCGACCAAGCTGCAGCTGGCACAAACCTGGTTTTCTGCCTGATCTGGGTTTTTTTGGAGCTGGGGTGACCTGCAGGCACAACTGCCTTGGCACTTCTCATGGAGGGAGTTTTAACACTTGTGGCAAGTTTTCTGTTAAGCTTTTGTAAACTGTGCTGGAGCACAAGAGGCTGCTCAAATAACATCTAGTAAGCATGCTTAACATTAAAAAAGCCCCACCAAAACCCAAAACCAGCCTAAAAAAAAAACCCTGGTGTTTTCAAGATAGTGAAATTCTTTCACTAGATCATGTTTTTACTAATTCTGGCTTCTGCTGATACTACTGACATGTGAGACTTCAGAAATACCTGCCTGATCCCTCAGTCATGGAAATCAAAAGGCTTCAGTGTTGCAGTCCCAGACTTAATTTCTTGTGCTGAGTGATTAAGGGGAAGGACAGTGATACTTAACCTACTGCAAAGATTTTCTTTTAATATATTTTTGAAACTAGAGCCAAGCTTTTCTCAAGTTGCATGTCTGGCAATTTGTTTGTCTTATTCTTCAGAAGTGGTAGTTAAATGTGAGTGCATTTTTGGTCACACAAACATTTGACTACAGCTCCTGAAGACGGTTTTTTGAAGGTCCTAATCCCTGTCTTGTCACCACAGAAGAAAACCTTCAGACCTTTTCTTTGTTCTGCAGGCGACTGTCTGACCCACACAGCTGGAGGGTTTATGCTGGGATTCTGAATCAGGATGAGATGCTCTTCAGGAGTGGACACAAAGTGCAGCTGATAATTTCCCACCCAGATTATGACACGGACTCTAAAGACAATGATGTTGCCCTTATGAAGCTGGAGACACCACTGAGTTTTACTGGTAGGTGTTCTGCTCCTCCTAAGGGAAAAATCCAGTGGCAGTGAGCACACCTTTTAAAACTTCTGAATTTCATCAAGCAATCCTTGTAGACACTTATTGGAAGAGCACAAACTGACCCTAGAGGCAGAAGGCACAGCCTCTGATTTCCTAAGCAGGATTTATTTAAATCTATTACATGGATATGTAATAGATATGCTTCAGTTTAGCATCACAGAGCATTCTGAGGTAAAAATATATTATTACACCACTGCTGTATGTGCAGACAGCTACAAGTGCAGTGCTGGAGCAGCTGATTAAATCCCAACTCAAGTCAGGTCAAATGATGGTCAAAAATCCCCTCAGAACTCAAGATTACAAGAAGTTCCTTTCATAAAAGCAGATGTAGGTTGTTTGTAAACAACCAGTACAAAATAGAGGACAAGCCATTATTTAAACTTGGAGTGCTTTTTGTGTACAGGCCCTTTGTGTTTCAGTGCATCACTTTGAAGCTACCAGGAATAATCTGAAAGGGATTTTCTGCTGCTGAGAGCAGGGAAATTGTCTGTTTTCCAGGTTTTTGTGTTGCACACTTCTTGTGTCTATCAGTACTGAATCCTGCTTGTCTTGTGATTATTTTCAGCAGATTTTTGCAAAGAAAATGCAGAGCTGTAGCTTTCAGGATTTTTTCTTTATCTTCTACTGCTCAGAAGAGCTGGTGTTAATTGTTCTATTTAACCTGATGAATCAAGGTAGAACCATTAACTGCTTGTCCCTCACTTTGAGGGGAAGATGAGGGAGATTTGAGGTGAAGATCAGGTACCCCTCAGGGAAAGGGCAGCTGGTAAACTTTCTGCTGCTTCCTGCATTGTCTGCCTGCAAGGAATGTAAAGTACAGAGGGAATGCATGGTGTGTAAGTGGTGGCCATTTAAATTTATTTTGAGTTCTGTCTGAAAATCTATTTTCTGTGTGTTTTACAGAATCTGTGAGGCCGGTTTGTCTGCCCAATCCAGGAATGATGTTCCAGCCTAACCAGCAGTGCTGGATATCAGGGTGGGGAGCAGAGCACCAAGGAGGTAAAAAGTGCTCCTGGAATATTTTGGACTTTTCACATAAACTAGTCTTCTTCATCCTAAGAATATTGTTGCATGGGCTGATGAGGCAGTTTGAATTAGATCTGTTCATACACTATTTTTTCACCCATTTTACCCCAATATTTACCCAGGGCATTCTGTCTCAAAGCAAGGTGTGAGGTTTGGCATTCAGCACATTGCAAAGGGACCCTCAAATCAGTTCTGGGGGCCAGAAATGCCCACCCAGGAGACAATTCTGTGTCCCTGCTGGCAGGGCCACCTCTCCTGCAGCAAGGGTTGCTGTGTGCCAAGCGTGTCCTGTGGATGTGGGAAAGGGCAGGAGCTGATCCTTTCCACCACCTCAGGCTGAAAGAGAATGATCCAAGTAAATTTGCAAGACTGGAAAGAGGAAAGGAAGGGAAGGAGTTTTTTTGGTATAAGCAAGGTGCTGGGGGAGGACCTCTTGTAGACTTCTTACATCTTAAATTTCCATCCTGCTGCTTCTAGGAAGTTTATTTCATCTTAGCTGTTGGGATTTTTTTGTAACAGCAAAGTAATGTGATGCTGATTCTGGTTTTGTCCTGGCATGTTTGTGCACGTCCCAATTCTAGGTAAAACATCAAATAACTTGAATTACGTTGCGGTGCCCCTAATAGAACGTTCGAGGTGTAATGCTGTTTATATCTACAATGGCATGATTCTGCCTACAATGATCTGTGCTGGAGACCTAGCAGGGGGAATTGATTCCTGTCAGGTAATTATTCCTCATTAATAGCTAATAATTGTATAAAAGATGAAATTATCTCATTATTTTTGTGGCTGTGCTAGTAGGTTTTTTTTCTTTCTTTCTTTCTTTCTTTCTATATTTCTATTTCTCTATTACAAATAAATCCCCCAAAAATTAAAAATTTTTGGTTTTTTTTTTTTAGTATAGAATTACAAAATGGTTTGGGTTGGAAGGGACCTTAAGGATCGAGCACTTCCAACCCTGAGCCAAGGGCAGGGACACCTTCCACTATCCCAGGTTGCTCAGAGCCCCCTCCAAACTGGCATTAAACACTTCCAGGGCTGGACCATCCTCAGCTTCCCCAGGCAACCTGTTCCAGTGCCTCACCACCCTCACAGGGAAGAATTTATTCCTAAAATCTAATGTAAGTGTGCCCTCTTTCAGTCTGATGTCATTAGCCCTTGTGTTCTCGCTCCATGTCTTTGTCCAAAGTCCCTCTCCAGCTCTCTTGTAGGCTCATTAGGGTCTGGAAAAGGTGGTGAGGTCCCCCCAGAGCCTTCTAGAGGCTGAACAGCCCCAGCTCTCTCAGCCTGTCTCCACAGCAGAGGTGCTCCAGCCCCTGGAACACCTTTGTTCCTCCTCCTCAGAGAGCCTCCTCTGGACTCGCTCCAGCAGCTCCATGCTGGGGATCCCAGAGCTGGATGCAGTATTCCAGGTGGGGCCTCAGGAGAATAGAGGGTGAGGGATATATATATATATATATATATATATATATATGAAGGGAATTTTTCATGCACTACAGTACAGGCACAGAAAATATATTAAAAAAAAACCACACTGTCTATTCAGGTAGTTAAAAATCCTCAGGATCTCAACACAGCCGTCAGTCAAAGTCAGACTGGTGCAGTCTGGCTGCCTCAGACCTTACCAAAATGTGCCTTAAGCTGCTCTGAACCCAAAACAGACGATGTGGGATTTGGAGAGGGATGCCCTGGGCAGGGATGCTCCGGGCAGGGATGCTCTAGGCAGGGATGCCCCGGGCAGGGATGCTCCAGGCAGGGATGCTCCAGGGAGGGATGCCCCGGGCAGGGATGCCCTGGGCAGGGATGCTCCAGGCAGGGATGCCCAGGGCAGGGATGCCCCAGAGCTGCAGCAGGAGCAGTCTCAGTGCTGAGATCCCTGGCTGAGCACATTAAAAGTGATTCTGGACCTCTCCCTGCTGTGGAAGGGCAAAGGTGCCCAGGCAGGCTGTGCTGCCCCTCGAGCTGCACACACACACACACACACACAGGGACTGGGTGTTTTGTGCAAGGAAACACAAAGCTGCCTTTCTGCAGGACGAGATGAACTACCTCATTTGTTAAATTTGGCTTCTGATTCCTTAGAGCTCTCCTTTATGTATCCACCTGTATGTTTTCAGCAAAATGTAATTTGTATCCGAGTGCCACCCGACTGAGGATTTTGAAAATAATTTATAATCGTGGTAGAGGATCAAAAAGCCATAACAAGTCACTTTGTTAAGAAGGATAAATCTTTATTGAATTAAATGACTCTACTAGTCTTGTTTTCTCTTTTGGTACTGAAATGCAATTATCTTACATGTAAATACTGCACCAAATAAATTGGGGGTTTTTTTTCTTTTTTTTTTTTTACCAACAAAAAAAACCCCAAAAAAACCAACTCAAAAGGGTGAGCCAAGAGATTATTTTAATTCCAATATTTCAGGTTCTTGAACAAACCCAGAGAAATAGAGCAGGATGTCCAGGAATGCTGAGGGTTTTTGGTGGCTGGGTCTGATGAAATCACTCTGACTTAATTGAATTAAATAAGAAAGTTTAGCCTGCAGGCAGTGGCTTGAGGGAGTCACACCCTGTTCTGTCATTCCCCCTCCTGGTGCCTGGAGCAATGTGTCCTTGCCAGTCCTCTCCAGGTGTGAGATGTGCGTTTGCAATAGCCCTTGTGCACCAAGTGTACCCCTGGGGATGGGGGGATACCGTGAAATAACCAACGAGTTTAAAGTACTGTCAAAACAGAAATTAAAAAAAATAAGTTGTTACAGGTATGAGACACTTTTGCTGTGGCTTCTTGCAGCACTGCAGGTCACTAATAGCAAAATAATGTACTGGGAGAAAGGGTGAACTGGCTGCAGTTTCCTGGATGTTGGGTTGAATGCTGTACCAAAAGTTACTTTTTGGTCATTTTTTGACCAAAAGTCAGGCACCAGCTGCTTGGGGGGTTTTTTTTTTTTTTTTTTTTTTTTTTTTTTTTTTACAAATAGTTTTCCTTAGTTGTGCTTTATATCTGTTTACTTGGATTTTGTTTTTGAAAGCAGTTGCTGGATTCAGTGTATGAAATGCTTTGAGAGTCTGATTAAAAAAAACCAAAACCAACAACAAAACAAACAAACAAACAAAAAAAAAACCAACAAAAAAAACCCCAAAAAAACCAACTCAAAAGGGTGAGCCAAGAGATTATTTTAATTCCAATATTTCAGGTTCTTGAACAAACCCAGAGAAATAGAGCAGGATGTCCAGGAATGCTGAGGGTTTTTGGTGGCTGGGTCTGATGAAATCACTCTGACTTAATTGAATTAAATAAGAAAGTTTAGCCTGCAGGCAGTGGCTTGAGGGAGTCACACCCTGTTCTGTCATTCCCCCTCCTGGTGCCTGGAGCAATGTGTCCTTGCCAGTCCTCTCCAGGTGTGAGATGTGCGTTTGCAATAGCCCTTGTGCACCAAGTGTACCCCTGGGGATGGGGGGATACCGTGAAATAACCAACGAGTTTAAAGTACTGTCAAAACAGAAATTAAAAAAAATAAGTTGTTACAGGTATGAGACACTTTTGCTGTGGCTTCTTGCAGCACTGCAGGTCACTAATAGCAAAATAATGTACTGGGAGAAAGGGTGAACTGGCTGCAGTTTCCTGGATGTTGGGTTGAATGCTGTACCAAAAGTTACTTTTTGGTCATTTTTTGACCAAAAGTCAGGCACCAGCTGCAGTTCCGTGCCACATAAAGAAAAAAAAACTTCAATTTCCTTCTAGGCTGGCAGTTCCATGCCACAGGGACAAACCCTTTCTGCCATACCTAGCCTGAGGAAAAGGCTTCTCTTGTAAGAAACTAGGAAATTACTACATCACACACTGGTATAAACACATTTTTTTCCAGCGGTATGCAGACATTACTTTTAGTTATCAAACCAAATCTTCCAAAAAATGTCATTAACACAGTGTGTGATATGTTTTGCATTGGCCTCCATGAAATAAATGAACTTTTTGGAAAGGTTCTCCTTGCCTTGGGGAGGGAAAGGAGAAAAGCAGCAAAACACATGCTGAGACACCCTTGTAATGTTTAACATCCTGGGAGGTTTCTTTCCTTTTGGACATCCAAATCCTGCCCATCAATCCCAAAATTTCAGGTGATGCTGCAGACATCTGAGAGGAAGAACCTCTTGGGCTTCTGCAAATCAGAGAGCTGGGAAAGGAGACTGAACAGAGCCAATGGCACCAGTCACACAAAGGAAAAAAAAACTTTATTTTCCTTCTAGGCTGGAAGGGTTTCATGCCTGCTGTGTGCTCCTCTCTCCCTCCTGGGCTGAGATTTAGTGGTGCCACTTTGCAGAAGTGTGTTTTAGGTGTTAGCAGGAAAGAGAACAACCCCAGCAAGCCAAAATCATGAAGGGAAGTGGGAGTGTCATGCACTAAGCTTCATGGAGGAAAGATAGATAATTTGGTTTCTACAGTTTGTGAATTATACAGCTTCCATCACTAAAAAGAGAAAAAACCCCCCAACAAAACATGCAATCCTCAGAGTGTTAGCTTTTTAATGATTATCCCAGTGGTTGCACAGAGTTCACAAAGAAAATGTTTAAAAATGGGATAATGTTTATTTAATCACAACTCCCCCAGCGGAGCTCTTTATGCAAAGGCAGCTGTTTGCATGTGATTATGGAAAATAAAGAAAACCTGAAAACTAGAAATTAGTATTAAAGGTCTGGGCTGATGCTACTTTATTATGGGATTATACAAATCTCTTCAGTAATGCTAGAAGATGAGGAGAAAAAAAACCTTATGAAAAACAAAGAAATTACAACAAGCTGAATTCTCTCAGGTACTGGCAGGCTTTGGTGAGACGATCAACTCTTTGGCTGAGGTAATTCCTGATTTTAGCAGCTTCAGAGTCCTCATCAAGGAGAAAGTTTAACTTCTCTTTATCTTGTAAAAGTTGCAGCATTGAGGTCTGCAAGTTTTCTCCAAAGTCATGAAGGACAGAAGACAGGATGATCAGAGGTATCTGATTAGCCAGGCGTTTGCTTGCTTCCTGTGAGATGGAGGAAAAAAAAAATGGCAAAATACTAAATTGGCAAAAAGAACTGAAAAATGAAGGGTTTACAGGTAATCTGGCAAAAAAAAAAAAAAAAAAAAAAAAAGTGGTTCCAAGGTCTTAAAATATTGGACTAAGTTACTGTTCAAGAAGGGAGTGCTGCTATGAACTGAAAAATGTTTGCAACCAGTGTCTTTTGTGCCTGAAATCCAAAAATTAAGAGTAATGGGGGTGTCAGCTGTTGCTTTTCTTCCCTCAACAAACTAAAGCCAAGGCAGACTGTCCTCTGCTCAGCTCTGTCAGCTGCCACTGGGACAATTTATAGGAGGACATTCCTGGCAAACAGAACTTGTGCCCAGTTTCTGGTGTCCAACCTGTCTCCACCGAAATCTGGAGGAAATCACAGAGTGATTTTTCCTAGAGCTGGTAAATTCCTCTGTTAGACTATTATTTAGATGGTATTTCTGATGTTGTTGTCCTTTTAAGCTTAAGAGGGCTTTGGAGGAAGCTTTAGCCTTAAGGGGAAATGTCCTCAGCAGCAGAGAGAGCAGACTGTGCCTACGTTACATCTGTTGACATCCCACGAGATAATCTCCTGTCTGCCCTGACCAGCTGCCTGGTTCATTTATGGATGCAAACTGGAACAAGAAGAGCTTGTGGAGCCCTCTCCCCATGGACAGCCACAGGGTTTGGGGGCCCACCTGGTGATTTAGGACAACACGAGGTTCTAAGCCTCTCCCAGCTCTGCCTCCAGCCCTCCTGGTGCTGGGTGAGCACTTAGACCTAAGTGCCTGGCTGCAATTAGAGGTGCTGTCTTTCTTTTTGTAGCACAACTTGGAAAATGGCATTTGTAGGTCCTGTAAGGTGTAGGCAGCCATGGGCACTTAACTTCCATCTCATTCAAACTCTACTTGGCCTTGCATAAGTCAGTCCCAAGGAGCTGTGGTGCCCTGGCATTTGGGGGATTGTTGAAAATGGCTCTCAGGGCATTTATAAAAATATTTAACTGCAGATAAAACATATAGTAGAGTGTGTAGCAAGGTGAGATGGACGCGCTTATGCATTTCTGGCCTTGTTCTATGAAAACCAAGGGTTTTGTGTTCATCAGCCTGAGCAGCCTGACCATTTAATTGCAGGAATTTGCACAAAGCCTGCTCTTGGAATTCAAAGTGAGCTGCTACCTACCTTTCTGAATTATTGATATTGAACTTGTTGCTTTCTGAGGGAGTTTTACAACAAAGCAATCTTGATCCTGCATGTTCTCTCCTCTTTCTTTAACGTGCTCCTTTGTTAAAACACCCCATTTGTCTTCAGACACTTCACTTAGAGGGTGCTATCTGCAGTACAGCAGATGCACTCTGATCTCTACAGACACCTGATATATTTTAATGTAATGTTTTATTATTGCTCCTCCTGCTGTAGTAGTTTAGGATCTGACTGCAAGCCACTGACTCCACTTTCTGCTGGCTGCAGGAATGTGCAGAGTGCCTTGAGGCTGACCTGAGCCAGGCTGGCAGGTAGCTGACAAGTGCTTTAGGAGCCAGCTGTCACTTTGGCACCTTCAGGCTTTTCTAATCACCACATCCTGCATCCTGCTGACACAGCCCAGCTTTGCCCTGACGCTCTCATCCCTGGTCAGATGCTGCAAGGAGTTTGCAGAGAAGCTGAGCATGTCCCTGAATGAGGCACTGAGACAGCCCCTGGCTGTTCCCTGCACAGTGCTAGGGTGGCTGCATTGACTCCAGCAAGACCTGGCCGAGGGGGATCTGCTGTGGCATTCAGGGGGCAGCAAACCTGCCTGTGAACTCACAGAGAAATAGGCACTGGTGTGAGAAACCATCTCCACGACAACAGAGGGATCCTTTGGAGCAATCTGAAACTGCAGGTTTTTCCCTGAGGACACGTTGAGGGCGTTTTCTGCCTTAACAGTATTTAAATCATCAATGTAAAGGTCATCCTGGCAGTACACGATTTTCTCCATTTTAAACTGTGCATGGACATGTCTTTCAGCCTCTGCTGCTTGTTTCTCTCTAATGTCTTCAATTTTCACCTAGAAAAGAAAGGAACAAGGAGTTCTGAGACATTTGCTTCCTTTGGGAAGGTGCCAGTGCTTAGCAGTGTCCCCAGGGGATGGC